ATGCACGGTTGGCTGAGTTGCGTTTCAAAAAACCTGCTGCACAGATCAATCCAGATATAGCTTTGCACGTGACCTTGAAATGTAACGGATCACTTTGTGGTTTGGTGAATGATGGAATCGGGGGAATGAATCACATCTCTGTGTTAATGTGACGGCTAAGGGAATAATGATGATGTCGGCTCCAGTGTCAATAAGAGAACTGAGGCCAGACGCCTTGTCGAAAACTGTCAGACGGCGAGTGATGTGAGGAGGGCATTGAACTTTACAGGCCTCTATAATTCTGGCAGTTTGTTCTCCGAAGTTGACTGAGGAGGGTGCATGGTTATTTCGGAAGGAACACGGTTGGGAGCACCTGTGTGCACGGTGCCGGAAGGTGCTATGGTACCAACAGTGACCATTTCCCCTGGTAGGTGAATGTGATCGGGAATGCGAATGTGGACGCGACAGCGTGCGGCGAAACTGGTATGGGTCGAGACAAGTGAATGGCTTCTAGCTGATTAAGTAACTCGCTATGACGGTCATGAAATGTGGACACCAAATCCGGTGTATCTACAGAAAAGTAGCAGAAAAACAAGGTTGAATTTCCAGTATTTCATCTCCTATGCTGACAAGTTCAGAGAGTGGAACACCTGGACTGGAAGCGAGAAGTGATTTTACGTGGGTAGGTAGACGTTTCAGAAGAAACTGTTTAAACAAGGCTGCATCAAGTTTGCGGTCCCCATGATGTTGTAAAGTCGTCGCAACAGTTGCGATGGTAGATCCATCGAGAGATTCTCCTCTAAGCAGTTGTTCCAGTCGTTCAGGTTCGACCAAACTACAAAGTTTATTGATGGCGGTACGTGACTGAGTGCCTTCAGGGTGGCGTAAACCGGTTGCGATTTCAGGAGGGAGTACTGCAAGCACATGGCAATACATGGCAAGCTCTTGGGTGATTACGAAAACGGCAAACTGAGCTTTAGCTTGTGTGAATCAGATGCATGAGTCGTTGTGCCAGAATTCTGGAAGATGAACAGAGGCAGCGGTGATCTGGGGTGTTGGTGCGATTGAAGGTGAGGGAATGTCTTGTGCTGGAGGAACTGACATGGCATAAGGATCAAGTCAGGTTCACCAATTGTTAGTGGTTCTAACGTAATTAGGTTGATTATCAAAAGATGACAAGCGCTAGCAAACGTCTGTTTTACCAGGATGCTGATGAATACAATAGTTTTGCGCACTTGATAAAAGTAGATACAATGGGAAAAGTGGAATTCGCCAAAACGTGACTTATCGTTTGAAGACACCTGTTGAGAGTTCTTGAGTGAAGTTCCGGGGGGCGGAACGTGTCTTCTCTGTGGTATAGCCGTTGCACGTGTTCCGTAGTTATCAGCGGAGACTTGTGGAGCTCGGTTGACTTCCTGTTCCGTGTGTGCGTGTGTGTTGGGCCGATAGGTATGCCTATTAAGTGTGTGCAGTGTGAAGAGGGGAGTGCCCCTCCGTTTTAGATACTTGCACGAACATGAATACAACCTGACCTCATGTGTTGAAGTTCGTAAACCTGGCGCATGACGCAGGTGGTAGTCGCGTAAAAAAAAATGGATGGGAAGTTGTAATGTACATGTTGTCGGCCAAGGGTCAGGAATTGTCACATGGTTTGAGTGTTTGTGACGCGTGATCTGGTGAGTGGCCGCTACAGCCCAACAAGGCGTTGACTTCTCGGGCCTGTGCCAACTTTTAAGTGACTGTCAACCAACAGCCCCTGGATGACCATCTTGTGGTTGGAAAACCCCAAGTCAGTTCAAAACGATAGTCCTAGGCATGAGTAGTTCCTCCGTTAGACAACCGGAAGCGAAACAAGTTGGTTTGGTTAGTTTGCAGCCTAGGTTAAAGCAGTAGGTTATGCCCGTTGGACATTTATTCTGATGATGTGTCACCAACCGATTTGCAGTTTGCCTTCGGGTCTCCATGCCTCATCCGTAGACGACAGTTATCAACAGTAATGCTCTTGATTTCAAGTAGTTTGGCTAACCATCATCTTGTGGTTGGAAAACCCCAAGTCAGTTCAAAACGATAGTCCTAGGCATGAGTAGTTCCTCCGTTAGACAACCGGAAGCGAAACAAGTTGGTTTGGTTAGTTTGCAGCCTAGGTTAAAGCAGTAGGTTATGCCCGTTGGACATTTATTCTGATGATGTGTCACCAACCGATTTGCAGTTTGCCTTCGGGTCTCCATGCCTCATCCGTAGACGACAGTTATCAACAGTAATGCTCTGGATTGCATGTAGTTTGGCTAACCATCTTCGGCCCATATTCAGGGCATAAGTTGATGTTCGTGGCGGTGGTTTTGTGGCAAGCACAGCTGTAGCATAAATAGGTAGCGGCAACGCTCATCTTGGGGATCTGTAAAGAGTCCAGAGCGGTCTCCACGCTTCGGAGCTCGGAGCAATTTTCCAATCTACGCGCTAATATTCCCAGTTCTAGCCTGTGACTTACAATAGACTTCAGTAATGAACGTTCCGTATGAGTACAGTTCACTACTCGGAGAAGAACATAGTTGGGTTGTATTGTCTGGAATGGTGTCTGGGTGAAACATCATATGATCTCTCACTCCCTACACCCTAATCACTTTTCCTCGTCTGCGAAGTTATGGCTACCGTTTGGGTTGGTTGGATTCTAAGTTGGCTTGACTAACGAAACTGGCCTTAGGTTGATGTCCAACAATAAGGGGCCTGTTCTACGAACTTGCTGCTAACCTGGGACACGTGGACACTCAGATGTCAGGTAAGAGACTGAGAGGTTTCCTACCGTCAACACTGTGTAAAGGTTTTGCTCATAGATCAGGTGTAAAGAGAACGCGTGAAACGTCTGTACATCAGCGATTAGATAAGTAGATGTGATAAGCAAGTCTTGTTGCTGTACGAACGGGTTGGGAAACTGCTACTACAATGCGAAGAACAAAGGTGGTTTGAGGAACAAGTTTTTGGCAAGGTCTTTCCAGGTCATACAGTTGCAAAGGTTAAGAGCGCAGTATCTAACATATTTGAGTGATAATGGTGCAATTGGACAGAAAATCGAGTGGAAGACGATACTGGCTACCTATTAAAAAACAATTAGTTCAGGTCATCAATAGGATGATTCGAGCTTGTCAGCGCGGGTGGTGCTGTGGTTGTGTTCAGCAGAGGGTGTATGTGTGAGGACAGTTGTGTTAGATCATGGCTAATTCAACACACGAACAAAGAGTTTTTGCCGACGAAGGATCGGATTGCAATGTCGCATTGTGATAGTCTCAGGCACTGCGATTGTGCGTTGCTGTACTGATCTGGATTGATTAGCCGGTGCCTTGTAAACAATGCGGAAGCTTTGGCTGGGTATCACGTTGTGCACCGTGTTTACAGAGTCGCATTGTGATGGTCTCAGGCACTGCGATTGTGCGTTGCTGTACTGATCTGGATTGATTAGCCGGTGCCTTGTAAACAATGTGGAAGCTTTGGCTGGGTATCACGTTGTGCACCGTGTTTGCTAGATGTTTTACTACTGAGCTGGTTATCGTCCTCACAGTTCCAGAAGCTAGCCAGGGTAGATTGTATTCCTTCAGTCTTTTGCCGATTTGCCTAATCGTGCACATTCCGCCACACAGCAGCAAAAGTACAAATATACTAACATATGTTGAGCGTGGACGGGCACTCTGGCTTTGAGAGTAGAGAAGTACAGACGATTGCTTATGAACCAGGTGTGGATTATTGCACTCGGGAAAGTTTTGTCCACACTGGTAAAAAGTCTTCTGTTCAGTAGGTCGGCCGGTATATCTCCATTAAACGGGTCTTCTTCCAACTGTGGCGGTTACGGTGTTGGCTTCTCTCCAGTTCAAATGCTTTACAATAAACTTCTTGGGAGCCCATTATCTCCCAGGACGTTGGTGAGAGTTTGGATTTCTTGTTCCAGCGCGTCATCAGTGCACTTTTCTTCGCTCTGTTAGTTGGGCTATGGATCAGATTCCGTTTCTGCTTTAGTGGCCCGAAGCTGCTAAAGCTAATGTATTGCCCGGACCAAGTAGGTTTTCGGTACACCAATCGTTTCATTGTACCATCATGACGTCGTTCATGGTCAACATTTAGGAGGCGGAAGTTGTTGGTTTCTCCTTCCGAAGTGAATCGGACGGCAGTGTGGGCCTGACTGCTGTCGCTTCAACTCACCTCCCCTCATACACACACACCCTGTGCTGAACACTCAACACAGCGCTACCTGCGCTGACAAGCTCAAAACATCCTATTGGTGACCTGAACTAATTGTTCTTCGATAGATAGCGATTGTCACCTCTCACTAGATTTCCTGTTCATCTACACCACGCTCACTCAAATATGGTTAACACTGCCCTGTTAAACTTTGCAATTGTATGACTTCAAAAGACCTTACCGAAAGCATGTAATTCAACCCATCTTTGTTCTCATTCCAGATGAGAATTTTCGGAATAAAGCGAAGAATTACCCTGTTTGGGCTAGGGCCATGAGTTGAGGCTACTAGGCTGCGCCGGCCCACATCTTTCACTTGAACTATCCAAATTTATACCTACGGTTTTGCATAGCCAACACAAGTAGAACGGACAAAACAAAAGGCAACCTCCGTGGTCTCTCTATTCTGTTATAATGAGAATCCTGTCACCGCAGAACAGCGCTTCATTGCACGTTTGCTTAGGGGACAGCACATGGAGACGTGATCACGTGACAATACAAAAAGATAATGATAAAAAGTTGGTAGTCAGGAATGAAACCGGAGGTTACGAAGACATAATCCTCTTAATTCAATCGGACCGAACCTGTGGTCAGTGTTAGAAGTCATTGCTATATTGTGCTATTTCGAAGTGATCAAAGCATGGCAAATCGCAACCAGTGCGCAACCACAGCTCTTACGTGACCCAGTCTAATTGCACACAACTTGACCGAATTACGTCGACAGAACGGCTGCGAAAAATAATCCCCATTTAAAATTGGAACGTGGCAAAAAATAAATTTTTATACATTAAATTTGGCTGCAATGTACAGGAAATCTGGTAAACTCGAGGACAGCGTGGCCTGTGTGCATAGGCTGTGGAGATGGGTTATCAGGACAATAGAATTTCGCAATCGGATCGGAAAACCCGATAGTTTGTGAGCAAACAGATGAGGTGTTTTTCCCCAAAAGAGGAAGAGGGAAATGCTTCTTCGGAATTAGGTCGCAATAGTGTGAATGCTGACGTTGAGGGGAATACTGTGTTATTCGGTTAATCTTTGGCCCCGTTTGACAGAAGTGACCAGACCAACGAGTTCTTTCAGACCTCTGGCCCAGTGTGTAAGGTAATTCGTCGTCGTAAGCTTTCCCGCCGCATTCGTAATGTATTCATCATGTAGGCGGGAAATTGAATTTGTTGACTAGCTTGATCAAAGAAGAATATTGGATTGTTTGTCCAGATCGAACGCTTTATGAAGGAGGAGGGACACGAAAGAAGATAAACAAGTGCAGAAATTTGACCAGAGTATTCACGTATTGAAAGAAGAACATGTAATTCGATTCCGGCCGAAAGATCCGTAATTTATCAAAATAGAACTATTTTTCCAAAAAGGCTACAGCTTGAAGTATCTATACGAAGAGATAAACTGGGATCTTCATATCATGGGATAGATAGCCCCTTGTGAGTAGTTTGGTCCTTCATTCGGTGCGCATGACTGATCGTTCAAAACGAGAAGTAATTGACAAACCACTAGCATCTGGCTCGCCTAACAAGGTTTCTATCACCGGAAGCCTACATATCACTGCATTCAAAACTGATAATATGACGAAGCGAGGGGTTATAGGTAGCATAACACGCCATCCCAACAATGCGCCAAAACGATCATCGTCATCGAAGTGTCTGATACCCCACGATAATCCAGATAACCAAAAATCATCTTGGTCTCACGATAAACAACCGTATTATAACTCATTTCCGGATGGAATACAGGGTAAGCCGCTGCAGAAACTTCGTTGATCCCGGACAATATCCGAACGAGTCAACAGATTGGTAAGTTGGTTTGTCCTGCGGAGTGCCACCACCTTGATCACAGCTCAGCCATTGTACCTTCAGCTCAGCAGAGGCCAACTAAACAGTAACGGAGTAGGAGGTGTTCAGAGATCATTTCGCCTGAGTAGGGAGGTTTGGAAACTAAAACACATGGTATTGATCCGGTGATGACAGGTCTAAAATAGAGTGGCCAACTTTGGGACTTTAAGCAGTGGTGGTATGTCGCAAAGTTGAATTTCATTATTTGAAAGTTACATATACAAAAGGACTGCATAACCATGGGTACTAGGCATGTGAGCCCATTAGTTCCCTACAATGTGTACCCTGTTGGTCTGACCTATCCTCTTCATATCTGTTTTCCTTTTTCAAACGCTGGTTCTGTAACGGATGGTAAATGCTTGAAACAGAAAGGACCCAACAGTGTGCGAATGGCACAACTACTGAAAGAGTCCAACGAAAATCTCTTTGACAGATAAAGCTGAAGAGAGGTAGTTTCCCACTTCAGAGTGATCCTGTGACCCGTTCAAATGATGGTTGTTTACCCCAAAGTGTATACACGAAATGCAGGTGGAGAGGACGTCGAAAGTTTCACACAAGTTCACCTGAAACGAACTTTGCTTGGCCACGTGCTACGTATGCCAGTCGACCGACTTCCTCGAAGGGCTCTTTTCGCACAATCACTCGAAGGATGGAAGAGAGCCACAGGCGGTCAAACAATGACTTGGCAACGAAGTATAAAAGCTATTACCAGCAAACACAGCTGCGCTGGTCATTGGCGTCCTTCTGGATGGGGACCCCGAGACGGGCCACATCAATGGTTGGAGACATTGTCAGACATGGGACAGTCGCGCCCTCAATGGCGCTCATGCATCCAAGCTATTGCCTTCAATGCATAGCTCTCTTCCCAACCCCCCACTTAACAGTCCACCCACACTGCTGTATTTACGCACTAATCTATCAGCTCCCGCAGCTACCTACCCCAGCTCCCCGAATCATCAGTGAATGAAACTGCGGCAGTTACAACCACTGTACGAAACGTACGCGGTTATTACAGCTGACTAACTACAACTATGACTATCATCAACTGGCCACTTGATCCTGCTGCAGTCCATTTAAGCTTGAGCAGATGACAATTGGAGTCCTCGTGCACAGCTTGACAAAGCCGCTGCAGAAACTTCGTTGATCCCGGACAATATCCGAACGAGTCAACAGATTGGTAAGTTGGTTTGTCCTGCGGAGTGCCACCACCTTGATCACAGCTCAGCCATTGTACCTTCAGCTCAGCAGAGGCCAACTAAACAGTAACGGAGTAGGAGGTGTTCAGAGATCATTTCGCCTGAGTAGGGGGGTTTGGAAACTGAAACACATGGTATTGATCCGGTGATGACAGGTCTAAAATAGAGTGGCCAACTTTGGGACTTCAAGCAGTGGTGGTATGTCGCAAAGTTGAATTTCATTATTTGAAAGGAATGTATAACCATGGATACTAGGCATGTAAGCCCATTAGTTCCCCACAATGTGTACCCTGTTGGTCTGACCTATCCTCTTCATAACTGTTTTCCTTTTTCAAACGCTGGTTCTGTAACGGATGGTAAATGTTTGAAACAGAAAGGACCCAACAGTGTGCGAATGGCACAACTACTGAAAGAGTCCAACGAAAATCTCTTTGACAAATAAAGCTGAAGAGAGGCAGTTTCCCACTTCAGAGTGATCCTGTGACCCGTTCAAATGATGGTTGTTTACCCCAAAGTGTATACACGAAATGCAGGTGGAGAGGACGTCGAAAGTTTCACACAAGTTCACCTGAAACGAACTTTGCTTGGCCACGTGCTACGTATGCCAGTCGACCGACTTCCTCGAAGGGCTCTTTTCGCACAACCACTCGAAGGATGGAAGAGAGCCACAGGCGGTCAAACAATGACTTGGCAACGAAGTATAAAAGCTATTACCAGCAAACACAGCTGCGCTGGTCATTGGCGTCCTTCTGGATGGGGACCCCGAGACGGGCCACATCAATGGTTGGAGACATTGTCAGACATGGGACAGTCGCGCCCTCAATGGCGCTCATGCATCCAAGCTATTGCCTTCAATGCATAGCTCCCTTTCCACCCCCCCCCAATTAACAGTCCACTGACAGTGCTGTATTTAAGCACGAATTTATCAACTCGCCTCCACTGCGCAGCTACCTATACCACCTCTCCGAATCATCGGTTAACGAAACTGTGGCAGCTACAACCACTGTACGACATGTACGCTGTTATTACAGCTGCTTGAAATATAGGTTGTGGCTGCATGCATTAGCGAAAATCACGAATCTAATCCTCAGAGGACATTCTACGAGAATGATTTTGCCTACCTTTGTAGACCGAGAGATGTGCGAAAGCAGATATGCTCCTAACATGATTTTGCCTTTTCCCTGAAAGTAATTTACCTCCCAGTAACTCTCCTATCATCAAACACTGTTGGACTTGGACATTTAACGCTATCCAACTCATGGTTTTGAAAGAAACGCGCATCACCCACCGTTTCAACTCAACCGTCGCCTTTGGAGCCCTAAGAATAATGAACCTGCGTATTGACCGATATTTCCTTGAATGGCCCTCTGATCCCGATGCGGAAAACTCATGGGTGGACTGATAATGTATAATCCAAGATCAGTGAGGTTTAGAAAGGTTTGATAAATTATTAAATATCTCTGCGTGATTGGTGCCCCAGGCTCATCTATGGTTGAGCTACAATAAGAGACAATTTTTTGATCAAGATAACGTGAAATGTCTACTTCATGAATAGCCCATCCAGACGGGCATCTGTGCAGCACTATCTACCGGATGCAAAGGTTCGCATCCATAGAATGCGACCGAAGATTTCTGCAACTTTGTCCCACAGGTTGGATCTATCTAATCTATTTCCACTGATCCTAATTTGTTTGGCTCCCTTGTTGCATTAGCAACCAGTTGGGACTAGCCGAAACCAGTCAATAATGTCGTGACTAGTAAAGCAAAATGACCCATTCGTCACTACTTAAATTTCAGCTCTCAGTGTATACTGGACGAAAGAACTCAGTTCAAGCAGAATTGTCCTTCATAGGTGGGCCACCTTCCTTTAGATGACACCACTTACGGTGAGTCCCTAAAGGTGTTTTCAACACTGAAGTCAGCATCGCGTTGGTTAAGTCGAAGCTACGTATGCGAATTTTGTCAAGAAACTGTCTGGCAGTAGTCCAAACCGAGATACTACTTCTAACAACTTACCTCACCCTCGCATCGACTCCACTTCAGAATGGCATCATCGTCATAGAAGTAGGTTGCGCACGACACAACGATGCTTTCACCGAGTTTATTTCTGGACGATGGAAAACATGAGATTATCAATCAGGCTATCCACGGAGACGAAAACGTGTGCCTCAATAGCTGACGATGCATAAGCTATATTTCATTCAGAACATGAGTTTGTGTTTGACAATTTTACTACTTTGTTCAGAATACAACGTAATTTGACCTGATTGTTGACAAAAGCACCAGTAAGAACGACCATACGTTTCCGCATAATGATCACCATGGGCGACTTTAGCACCAGTAGAAAGAACATACGTTTCCGCATAATGATCACCATGGGCGACTTTGGTCGCCATAAGCGAAGATCTAGGGCATGACCGGGTGGGTATTCCATCCATTTGTGACTGCAGTCTTACAGTTCCAAAATAACGTGATTATTTGAGGAATAGATTTTCGTGATTTGATCGGTCAGTATAGAATTTGTGCGTGTTGGGCTGTGGTATGGTGAACGTTTGCATTGGACCGGTTCGATTTCTTTTTAGTGTTTCTGTTAGTTTATTCGAATAGGCTCATCTACTTTTGTTGTCTTGTGCCTCGGCTGGGCCTCCCTTCATTTGCTTGGTCAATTGGTTCCGTTTTTGGCACATCTCCCTCTCTGCGCTCAATGCTCCACCCATATTTTCTGTTGCTGGCTGATGACTGGCCCATAGGCCGCCGTTCGGCATCCGATTTGTTGGTTCGTGGTCTCCATGGCTTTGAATTCCAGCAGCTTTGACCTTCGAACCTGATGTTCATCAAACGTTTTTCATGCTCTCCTTCTTCGTGTTTTTTTCACAAATTTCAACGATGGGTCCCGAGTTCCGTCATTTTGAGGAGCCGACAGACTGGAGTACCCTCATCGTGTTTGATGATGAGTGTGACGCTTTTTCATGTCTGAACTAGCAACGGGTTTGGTATCAGTTGAATTTGTGTATTTCTTATCTTCATATGTGAATCCCGGTGAGACCTAGACGCGTACCTCGATGGCAGTTTGAATCTCATCATCTCAGATGAACAGCTCATGGTAGTCCATTCTTAGAATTTCGTACACAGCATAAGCATTCTTTGTTGTTTCTGGTTTGCCCTTTTAGTCTGATCATGCTGGCAAGCAAACAGCGTTCTTTATCCACTAGGTTCATGTCTGCCTTGAATGCACGACATTTATTTGGTTGAGCTATAACTTCTAGAGAATCACCAACTAAGATTTCTCAGATAATAATTCTTTGGAGGGGTCCACAATAACGTTTTTGTACTTTGGCTTTCGCACCAACCAGTGGCCAGCAAATCAGACCACAACGCAACAGAAAATCTGAGTAAACCATTGAGCACAGGCTGGGAGATCTGTTGAAAACGGAATTCTTCCAAGTGACCAAGCGAATGGGGGGAGCCTAGCCGATGAACAACACAACAAAAGTAGATGGGCTAACCGATGTACAACACAACAAAAGTAGATGGGCCTATTCGAAAAAAGCAACAGAAACACTAGAAGGGAGGTCGAAATAGTCAAATGCAAACGTTAATCATGCCACAACGCAACACAAATTCTATGCCGACCAGTCAAATTACGAAAATCTGCTTCTCAACTAATCACTTCAAAGATATTAGCTGTTCTTTGGGAACCATATAACTGCAGTCAGAAATGGACGGAATACCTCCCTGAGCGTGCACTCACTGTCATCTCGAACGATAGCAAAATTTTTGCAAACTAACTGGCAAGCTTGGTGGACAGGTTGAAAGCCTGATCATGAACTAAATTACTATATTTTCACGAAAAATTTTCACCGTGGAAAAATGCGGGTAAATGGATGAAAAAATATGCACCAGCGGGATAACTAGTATTTTCATTCATTGTTCTTATTGGAAATCCTCGTTGTATTGAACTATCTTATTTGTAGGTGATGCTTTGATGTGGACGGCCTCATCTATTTCGAACTGAAAACCAACCCGAATTTCGACATTAGGGCGCAAGTGATAGAAAAGTCTTTACTCACATGTGTGTAAGGAACGTTCGGATCGGAGTTTCCGACACCTTGTTTCTGAGAACGGCTTGCAAGTGGATGTGTAGAGCGGGTGTGCGGATGGCGTCCGGATTTCGTGATTCACGTCTCAGTGGATAAAACATAGGCTGAGCGCTGGGGATAATGGGTGACGGCGAATCGGAGTCAGGAGTGTTCGGAACCAGAGAAGTGCTTGAAGCTTCACTGTTACTTCGTGTTGGTGTCATTGGCGTGCTTCCCATATTTGTGTCTGAAGACGTCAGTTCATAGTGGCTCACGTCAAGTTTCTAAAGGGAAACCGGCGATAGGTTCGTCGGGACTCGCGGTTGAAATACGATATTTTTTAAGAACTGCATAGATGATCTGGCATTTTGTCACCTATGGAGCTACGTCTTCATTATTACAACAAAACTGTAAAATATGATATTTTCATGAGTTTGGTTTGGAATTACAGATCCAATTGAAGCAAGTTTTATTGATTGGCAACGGCCTACGTTCAACGTCCAATGATTGGTGTCACAAGCAAAGCCATTCAAAGAAACGAGACCAATCAGTAACAGTAGTCAGTGCAACTGGTTTTAATTCTTGAAATTCCTTCTCCACACACTCTTCCTTGAGTGCAATTTCTGATGAATGTCTGCTTCTTCTAATTGCCATGGTTTCAAAGATACATTGAAAAGCTCTTGACGCAGCATAAATAGCTGGATTATGATGTTTCCGCCAAATGTACAATTAAAGTATTCTTTCGAGATTCTCAAGCAATATTTTATACCAAAAAAATTGCCCCAAATCTGGTTCAAGAAGAGAGAAACAGGCGTTCGAATCTCCCAAACCAGCAGTCTGAATGTGCTCCACGGAATATTAGGTCTGTAGTCTTCAAACTGAACCGTAGTTTATTGCGAGGAACGCTTTCGAGTTTATAGTTTTAGCAATTCTGATGCACGTGAACTCAGACATCAGCTTTCAAACAAGATTTTATCCGAGTTATGGCCTTAAGTCGTTGGTCTGTCTGCCTCATGGGTCTCAAACAGCAACTAAACTGTAGTAGACTGTCTGAATAATTTGAGGAACCGTTTCATAAGGCCAACTGCCTCCCTCATTTCTGGGTTCGGGATGCAACTCGATCCCAGACTTACCCCGTCACTGAAGACGTCAGTTCATAGTCGTTCACGTCAAGTTTCTAAAAGGAAACCGGCGATAGGTTCGTCGGGACTCGCGGTTGAAATACGGTGTTTTTTAAGAACTGCATAGATAATCTGGCATTTTGTCACCTATGGAGCTACGTCTTCATTATTACAACGAAACTGTAAAATATGATATTTTCATGAGTTTGGTTTGGAATTACAGATCCAATTGAAGCAAGTTTTATTGATTGGCAACGGCCTACGTTCAACGTCCAATGATTGGTGTCACAAGCAAAGCCATTCAAAGAAACGAGACCAATCAGTATCAGTAGTCAGTGCAACTGGTTTTAATTCTTGAAATTCCTTCTCCACACACTCTTCCTTGAGTGCAATTTCTGATGAATGTCTGCTTCTTCTAATTGCCATGGTTTCAAAGATACATTGAAAAGCTCTTGACGCAGCATAAATAGCTGGATTATGATGTTTCCGCCAAATGTACAATTAAAGTATTCTTTCGAGATTCTCAAGCAATATTTTATACCAAAAAAATTGCCCCAAATCTGGTTCAAGAAGAGAGAAACAGGCGTTCGAATCTCCCAAACCAGCAGTCTGAATGTGCTCCACGGAATATTAGGTCTTTAGTCTTCAAACTGAACCGTAGTTTATTGCGAGGAACGCTTTCGAGTTTATAGTTTTAGCAATTCTGATGCACGTGAACTCAGACATCAGCTTTCAAACAAGATTTTATCCGAGTTATGGCCTTAAGTCGTTGGTCTGTCTGCCTCATGGGTCTCAAACAGCAACTAAACTGTAGTAGACTGTCTGAATAATTTGAGGAACCGTTTCATAAGGCCAACTGCCTCCCTCATTTCTGGGTTCGGGATGCAACTCGATCCCAGACTTACTCCGTCACTGACACTCTGAGGTCCAGTCACTTGAGAAAAGCCTAAATCATTCAAAGATTATAATTTTGGGAAAATTCTAGGAATCGACTGCTAGATGTTCAGAATTTCCTGCAAAAAATCAAGTTTATCTGTTTCTTCCGGTGCCCGTCAAATGGCACTCTGAGGTCCAGTCACATGAAAAAAGCCCAAACCATTCAAAGATTATAACTTTGGAAAAATTCTGGAAATCGACTGCCAGATGTTCAGAATTTTCTGCAAAAAATCAAGCTTGTCTGTTTCTTCCGGCGCCGAATATGGGCTTGATTGTTAAATAGCAATTCTTTCTCGACCAAGAGTCTTTCTTATCGAAAACGTTTGATGGCAGCCGGTAGATTTATTGCTGGGCAACGTTTCATTTTTTATACAAAAGCTTCGTCAGGCCAACGTTCCGAGGTTGGTCGAGATTTAAGGCGGAAGAAGAACCAATCAGCTAAGTCAAGCTAAATCTCTGTTGGGTGTCGGCCGAGGGATTTTTGTGTGTAAGAGTGATTGAACAAGGGTCACCTGATTGAACAGCCTTTTTTCGTTTCGTTACCAATCGAGGTGATGTCACCAGTACGTTGTTAGGGAGCATAGTGCAACCTGGCGATGGTCGGTGGTTGTGCCAACATTCTCCTCTAAAAAAAGTTGGTCTGTTTCACATGACCCAAAATATGCCTCATGAACAACCACTCGGAGCTCTGAGACACTCACATATTCGCTACACTAACTAGTTATGATATATATGGCTTTCGCTAATGTTTTTTATACCCTTTGCGCTTATGTTTGTCAGAAGAATGACACCTTGATGTAAATGAACTTTGCTCACATGCCGTCTTCAGCGTCCACCCTAGGAAGATGTTTCAGATGGAAAGTAAGCAACCAACCAGAGTGAGTCTTATTGTCTACAAACGTAATTCGGTAATTGTTCTTCTGAGGTTTAAAACGACACTCACCAACCAATTTTGAGTAGGGTGCTCTAGTCTGCGCATTTCGAAATAACACCACTCTTACCTGTATTAGAGAGTATACGAACTACAGGTTATTCATGGTTAAATAAACATTTAAAGTAGCTAGTTGAATTCCAGTAACATGTATTCTCCGTTTATCCTGCTAATATAAGGTCAGAAAAAAAAGAGAATTACTGGAGACATTGCTGGCTGTGTCCCATTGTCGTTGTTGTCAGCCTGTCCATCGGGGACGCTAGTCAAATTCCAGTCAGCCTGTTCTCGCAGTTCCGTACTCGCAATGGTCCCCGGCACTGAAGAGTAACTGTCCTGGTCAGGTTCACTTGGTTTGATTGATTCTACTGCATTCTCTAGCACGCCTGCAACGATTTTTTCCGCAAGTTCTGCTTCCCCTAAGGGTTCGTGAGCTCCATCGTGTTCCTCCTGCAGTTTATCATGAAACTTTACTTTGGGCGCAGAAACTGGGTTCGAAGTGTTTTCTTGAGAATTGTCATAGTTGCCTCCCCCCTCTACGAACGCCAAGTCGGGGATCGTGTTTGCCTTGCGAAGTGGTGCAACTGGAATGGACTGTACACGCCCCCGATAAACAAATGGTAGCACATGACCAGTGTTCGTGTCAGTTGTATTCTCCCTCGCCTCGTCCGTAGCCCCTAATGTTGGTCTTACGTCCACTCGAAGCACCGATCCCGAATGATGTCGGAATCTCGGTTGTTTCGCGTTGGTAGAATCTGTCACCAAAGGGCAAATCGACTTCTGGGTAGGTGATGTAGGTTCACTTTCTGCGCTAGGCTTGGATACTGGAATGGAGCCAAGGACACACGAATTATTGAGTAGAATAAGCGTTTTATTTGTAGACCTTTAGCTCATAAGGACACAGACATGCTCAAATTCCACGCATAGTCAGATCCTTTTCTTAGATCAGCCTACGTGGTTGCCCAATTTTTGACCTAAAAGACTTGATAAGACAAGGGAACCGCTGCCGTACAATGAGTAGAGCGCAATTGAGCCATTCTAATTTGTGACTGTTTTTGCCAGAATACGCTGATTTAGAGTAGACAACGGAGTGATTTTGTAGGAATTCCTTCACTCACCTAATTGATGAGAGTTCAAACATTGTCAGTCATTAGATCAGGAAACTTGTTATTTGTTTTACGTGCGCAAATCGCACCACACAATCGTGGCTCATTTGACCTTCGACCGTCCAAACCGTCTGGTAAGAGTCGAAACAAGCAATGTGCACACACACACACGCACACCGCAAATGTACTTACATATAGGATTGAAGATGAGTGTATATTCGCTAATTTCGTGCAAGTTGGTCTCAAGTAGAAAGAAAGGTTGACGGAAACCCGGTGACTGCGCCTACCTGATGCACCCCAAGAAGGGCGAAACCGATCGTGAGCTGTCGATGGATTTTCAGCAACCTTTATGAGTAGTACATTACAAAAAAACTGAAAACAGTTCACAACACATCAACACGACGCATGTCATCCACATCGGCGTCTAGCCGCGTAGACAATTAGGAAGTACGTGTAGCCTCTACAACAGTGAAAGAACCGCGAAGCCCGCGCCCGGACGGACACCAAAAAACGATCGACGATAAGTCCCCCTTTCGCAGTATGCATGTTGTAATCATTTGGGTTAACAAAAGTGATCCGTGCTAGTGCTCATCGCTTTCTGTTTGTTTATTCAATTTCCGGGTGACAATGGAGCACCAAAAATTGGTGAGCCTGATTTTCGTGTTTTCACTTACACCCTGCATATCTTCATATTTCAACTCATGTCTGACACATCTCCAGCTCAGTCAATCTCAACTCAACATCAATGCCGCACCTCCCAGCATTTTGGCATCAGCATCCATGTATCTGGTTCACCAGAGTCCAGGCACAGTTCGCTCTTCGTGGCATCAATCAAGAGCATACCATGTATTACCACGTACTGTCAGTGCTTCGACCTGAACTAGCGGCCAATTTGCGCGGGGCTTTGTTGAATCAGGATGCTACCAAACCATATGTGCAGCTTCGAAACACAGTTATTACGCTCAAATCCTTATCGGAGCATAAACACCTTGAACAACTGATGAGCAGCGGAACGTTAGATGGCTGCACGCAGTCGCTATTCTCAAGATGACCGATGAGCAGCGGAACGTTAGATGGCTGCACGCAGTCGCTATTCTCAAGATGACCGAAAAATTGATGAGGTCGTACTCAAGCAAATGTTTCTTAAACGTCCACCCTAGAGCCTGGTGCCGATAAAGTTCCATCGACTCAGGTCACGAACATCGCAGATGGAATGTTGGAAACTCAATCTTGCCCACGTAACCTTAATGCTCTCGACAGGCCCACCGCTGTTCCATCGCTAGGTTTACATCTCCGCATCAACAGAGACACTATCGTCCTATTTCCGCACCTCACTCTCAGGGTACGGCTGGTTCCATACTCAATCCGATCGATTCGCTCGTAAATGCACAGTACTTTGTTCATTCCAGGCATCACCATTCTCAGTCACATTTCAATCGAGGAACGAACAGGTCAAAAAGTAGAGACCAGTAGTTCCTTTTCAACATTCTTCATCTTCATCCGCTAGGCAGGAACTCTTGTCTCCGTTTTTTGGTGCTGATATTGGTGTTATACCTGTAGCCAGTGCTAACTCCAAACTGACACCCTCTCCAGTTGGGCAACTGATGCTAAGTACATCGAAACGTACGGACAACGAGCTCTGGACATAGGCCACAGTCTCTCAAGAGAATTCAGATGGTTCTCCATCATTGCAGACGTACATCAACAAGTCCTGGGGGCAGATTTTCCAACTTATCATAATTTACTAGCAGACTTTAAACGTCAAAGTCTACTTGACGCTACCGCTCAATTATCAGTCAAATGAAAACCAGCAATAACCCCGAACATCTGCCTAATAACGGTGTCATCGCAACGTTCTTCTCTCTTCCATGAGTTACTTCGCAAATTTCCGGAACTCTCAAGTCCAAAGTTTCATCAGACAGACAGTTAAAACACTCGGTGTTTCATCACATTAACATCCGTGGAACTCCTGTTTACGCAAGCCCATGACGACTGCATCCAGAACGACTAAAGATTGCAAAAGACGAGTTTCAACATATGCTGCAACTTGGAATCATTCGTCCTTCCGGTACCAGTTGAGCATCATCACTCCACATGGTACCAAAGAGCACAACCACAGACTGGAGACCCAGTAGTGCGTACCGCGCACCTCACTCACCACCTACACAATTTCTCTATCACCTTGCAAAAGTGCACTATTTTCTCTCATATTGATATTCTTTGTGCGTACCATCATATAGCAATTCACACAGACGATATACACAAAACGGCAATCACTACGGCACAACCACCAACCCACCGCTACGCACTACTACGCTCCCCAATAACGCACTGATGTTGTCACCTCGATTGGTGATGAAACGTTTGCAATCAAACTGCCCAGATCAGCGAACAAGCCAACGACCACAATCACTACCCCCTTTCGGTTTAGCTAAATTCGTACGAATGCCACTTGGTTTACGTAACGCTGTACAAACCTTCCAAAGTTTCATCACTGATCACTGCGGACGCGCAACAACATATGGACCATTTAGCTACTGTTTTTTTGCGTTCATCTAAGTAGGGAGTAGTTGTTAACCCGCAAAAAGTTGCGTTCGGTTCACCTGCATTGACGTTTCTTGGCCATACTGTTGACAAAAACAGCATACTAAGGGATGCTGACAAACTAAAGGTGATTCAAGATGATCTTCCTCTGACTCAACTAAAGCACTTCCTTGGAATGGTATACTTCTATCGCGCTGCATCCTTACAGACTTGTAAGTGGGCAATCTTTTTATTTAAATGATTTGGCATTAGAATCATTTCAAGGGTGCAAGTCTGCATTCGCAAAGGTTTCGATAGTGTTCTCTTATCATCCAGATGCTCCATTGTCACTTAGAGTGGATGCTTCCAACACGGTCAAAGGGGCAGTCGTGCAGGAAACATTTGACAACAACATCCAGCCACTCGGATTCCCTCCACGAGAACTGTCACCATACTACAGTTGGCCGTGAACTACTGGCGATTTACCTATCCATCCGTCACTTTCGTCTGTACTAGAAGGCCGAGAATTTTGTGTGTACACTGATTATCAGCTCATAATTTTCGCACTCAGAGCAAAACCAGATAGATATTCGCCACGCGAAGTGCGTCACCTCGATTACATTTCGCGGTTCACTAGCACCATTCGATACTTCCCATGGAATGATATCATAGTTGCTGATACCCTGTCAAGGCCGGCAATAGATTCTGTACAGAGCATGCCCGGTATTGAGTGCAGTCACTTGGTAGAGCTTCAGAAAAAGGGTCATCACTAATTTTCAATTCATCCCTGAATATACAACCGATGCCGCGACAAACCGTACCAGGAACTATAGACTGTGATACTGGGACGGTTCAGCCAAGACCCTGGTCCCGCTCTCCATGCGATGAAAATTGTTTGAGTCATTACATAACGTTTCACATCCAGATATACGTTCAACCCCCAAACTCATTTCCCAACGTTTCATATTACCGGAAATGAACTAAGATATAGGCGAATGGACTAGGACCTGCCAAGCGAATCAGCCTTCTAAGGTTACTCGACATACACGATCAACCGTAGGAACTTTCGCTGCCCATGACAGCAGATTCGGTTAAGTGCTCTTGAATACAGTTGATCCTCTATCCCCATCCGATGGCTACTCCCACATACTTGCCATCGTAGATCGTTTCACCCGATGTTCAGAGGCCATTCCCATCAAGGACACATCGGCAGACACCGTCTCCTGAACATTTTCAGCCGATCGATTTCCACAGTCGGCGTTCCGTCGTATAGCACCACAGACCGCGGCTACCAGTATGACTGCCATCTATCCCAGCATGTGACAAAAGTACTCGGTTGCACACAAATTCATACGACGGCTTATTATCTTCAGGCGAATGGATTTGTTGAACGATTTCATCGTCACATGAAGTCCGCTATTACGGCGAACAATGTTCTCAATGATTGGTACGATATTTTACCAACATTACATTGTTCACCAGTGGAGCTGGTTTTTGGAATCATTTTATGCATTCCCGGAGAACACGATACGTTCCTACGTGACTCAACTAAGGGAAAATATTTCGAAACTCCGATATCATTCAACTCAAATTCCCAATAAGTCATCCTACGTCCCGTCAGAGTTGTCGTCTTGTTCACATGTTTCTACACGTTGCGATTGTGTTAGGAAACCTTTACAATCTCCATATGACGGTCCTCATCTTGTGACTTCTCGGAACTTCAAATATTTCGCCATACAATATAACCACGAAGCCGATACAGCCAGTTTGAAACCAGCTTATACAGACTTTCTTGACTCGGTACCTCTTGGAAGCTACACCGGTGATGTCAAGCGCAAAGATGATGCGACGGAAAATTGTTAAACTGGCTAAATACACAGAAAGCGATGAGCACCAACAAGGGCCGTTTTTGTTAGACTAATTGATTACAGTATGCATATAGTGAAAGAGGGACTTATCGGGCACAAGGTGATAGTCTCTGCTATTCTTGGGACGCAAGTCTCGTTGTAGCAGCCACATTTATTTCCTGATTGTTCGTGGAGTGTGTGCAGTAATTTCCGCGCGGCTAGAGCCGATTTGGATGGCGTGCGTGATGTTGGTGTTTTGTGAACTGTGTTTGGTTTCCGAGAAATACATTCATTTGCAAACCAATTTGGTTTTCACGAGAGACTCAACTGAATCTCTCGTTTATGGTATTCTTCAACTGAATGTGCTGCACGCAGGCCGCTTCATGATTCGGTTGGCGCGGTATTCGAGATATCGTAGTATATTTTCATAAATGGCAAGAACGAGTTTCGTAGTCTAGTCAGTGACGGTGTTTAAGCTGTGTGAAGGGATACCTATAGTTTCTATGATGTGGTGAGTGATTTTCTTTTGGCTTCCGGGAGTCACATTCATGCTGTTCCATTAACGAAAAATCAGTCAGCAAACTGACTCATGAGGAATGGTAACCTTTAAAACGTGACACAAAGTACCATCGAACCGTTCACATTAGAGTCTACATTGCCCCTATTCACCATGAAAGGAACCTGGGAAAGAGTATTTTGCTGTAAATCGGGATTTCCTCTTGTAAGTGAAACCACCCTAGGCTGAGGAGCCTAGAAGTGCTCTACAGCTGTTTTATTCTTGTTCGAAATCAGTAGCAGCATGCATCTTGTGAAAATTCAGGAAGTCTCCAACGCAATACCTCACGGATAGTAGTCTGAGCAATTAACCTTTCGGGCACCAGTGACTGATTAGCATAGTCACATCCTTGACTCTCGGAAGCCAAATCACGTGGTCACATGTTGAACGCCCCCTCGAGTGACGGTTTCTAACATATGACCTAAACATACTGGTATGCTGACTTCACTGGACAGAGCAAAAAAGAAGTTACCTGATCAACACCCTTTTAGTTAGGTTGGTCAGACTGAACGGTTTTCCAAAACAGAGAACAGCATAAACCAGAGGCTCAGTTGGGTCCCAGATGAGTCTCTGGTCAACCAAAATTGGTATGCAAATGAGTGCATTTCGCTAAGTTCGTACAATTTGCGTTCAGGTTGACGGAATCTCGGGGACTGCGCCCACCCGATGAGCCCCAAGAAGGGTAAAACCGGTCGTGGGCTGTTGGAGAGATTTCGGAAACCTTATGAGCTGTGTATTCTGTCTACACATGTATCGCGATATCTTGAATATCGTACTTAGTGAAACACGACAGCCTGGTGCGGCATATTCAGTTCATTAGAAGACTCATAAGCGAGGGATTCAGCTAGGTTCTCGGCGAGTCTGCAACAAACTGGTGTTCGGATAAGAGTATTTCGACAGCCCCGTGCAACTTGGGTTCAAATAAAACATAAGGTTGACTGGAAGTCGCGGACTGCACCTACCTGATGGACCCAAGAAGGGCGAAGCAGGTCATGGGCTGTCGAAGAGTTTTCAGTAGCCTTATGGGTAGTGCATTACGTCCTAGATTACTCGGAAAGTTAACGATTGTGCGTGATGGATTTATGTTATTGCTCTAATCTATTGTTTTCTCCGCGGATTGCTTTAAGAAAAAAAAGTTGTTCGTAGCATTAAAAATCGCAGTGTTTTGAAATCTTATGAGACAGAATAAACCAAGTGTAGCAGTTGATAGCAGTTGATAGCTACCTGTTGCTGAAAGCGTAACCGTTTCGAAAAACTCACCCTCTGTGTCACTGAGCTGAGTGGCCACTTCGAACACGATTATATCCCCATTTCCCGTTCCGACCCACACTGATTCTTCATGAGGCAGCAGAGCCGTCACTCGGTGAATGTCAAATGTTCCTTCATCATCCTTAAGATGGAGGATTAAGTGTGGGAACAACTTAACATGGTTAAGTAGAAAACAAATTCTATCAAGTCACAGAAAGCAATATACTAGTAGACTCGTAAAATTGTTCACTAGCAACACTGTACGATAGTCTCTCTGATCCCTACGGGGAAGGCCACATTTTGGGCAGTTCTGGGGATGGACTTTCTTTGGAAGTCAGCGTGTATGGTATTTGAAAATTGCACAGTGTTCTGAGAGTTTACAGAACGGACTTTTGAACAAAGTATCCTCCAATCTTCTGTTACAAACGAAGCACATCTGATAATGACTATCTCTAATTTTAAACACTTTTTCTGCTGCAAACTACTTAAGGCACTGGACAACTTGAATGGTGTTGCTAAAATTAATTATGTTTTTTTGCTTGTTCCAATATCTTCTCCTAGGTGTTTGCATCGGAATCCTGTTTAATCTCCAGCTTGACAGAATTAAAAACCATAGAAAACAACTGGCAATATACTTGACACTCATCTAAAATTCACCCTAAAGCGGCTATTTTTGGTGGTGCATTTTGATCTTAGTTCGGCTGAGCATCATAAGTAGATTAGTTGGACAATGAGAGTACTCTGCCAATGATGGGTGATGGAGAGCGAATAAACTAAGGTAACTGACTGAGTATACTTCCGTTACATAGGACCAAAGATAGGTATCAGAGGGAAAAGTTATACAATCGGTATTCATTTCCACATGATTATGATGAGGCATAAGACAACAGGGTCGTCCTAGTTTCTGCAAGTCCGCATCAAGTAAAATCCGAAGAATCATCTCCGGACCATCAGACCACAAGGCTGGTTAGCATTGAGGGGTCAAATGAGGTCCGTGAGGAAGAATGCCACGACAGGGATACGTACTAGTCGGCTGAAGCAAATAAAATGAAACCCGCACTTGTGTATCAGTAGTGGTCCCGAATTCCGCATTCGTAACAGAGAGAAATGGTTCCATTCACATTCGTTTTCCGGAAAACTGATGACAACGTTGCGAAATAAATCGATGATGAAGCAGCATACAAGTGCTTCTCAGCCTAGCGTTTTTGGTGTACATTTTAAATGTGCGGGTTGGATTTTCCAAGCGTTCTTTAATAGTGGGGAAGTGTTAACGATAGAGTAGACTCTTTTTTGTTTGAGCCGACATTTGTTGCCTTATGGACCGACAAGTTTTCAAAAGGAACCACTTCCGGGTTTTCACTTAAAGCGTGTTTCGGCCACGACCTCCATTCTAGAAGAGACCAAATGACAACCGAGCTCATTTTTTCAGAAACACACTCATCTGATTCTCACAGGGGGCTTACCTTGAACCTACCTGAATCCCTGGGCTCCAGACAAATCTCCCATCCAAACCAAATAGGCACGCAGATGAGTGTGTAAATCGAATTTTGTGCTCAGATTCACTCCAATTTCACCTTATCCTGTTGAAAACAATCTCTTCTCTGAAGGGTTCAACGATACAGGATTATCTACTTTTTCTTGGGTATTTTGAAGTGAAGGTTACCAAAGAGAGTTAGTGTGTGAAAGAGTTCTTTTTTCCAAAAGTCTATCTAATAGATCACGCTCCCAGCCAGGGTAATATGCTTAGAAACAACAAAACTTAAGTAACTAATGAAATATTTGAACTCCAGGTCATTGTGATACGGCACCGAGAATATTTAGCTGAGGAAATTAGATAGTAAACAAAAGGCCAAAATTACACCAAAATGTGAATTCGCTCTACAACATTTGAATAGTGGAACACTGTTAGCTAGCTAGACCATTTCGGCTCACCTCTCTTCGGCTGACATACGCATCTTTATGTGTGTTGAAAAGAAGCAGTCGATTCAACGTTTTTACATCCCAGAGTTCGATAATTGGACTTCCGCGCACGCCAATCCACACCCCGTATCGGCTAAGTTTCATCGTGAGGATCAAATCTAGGGCGTTTTCCGAGATGCAGAATTGGTTGTGGTAATCCAGCGTACTGTGGATAGGACGAATTTATGTGATTTCAGACAGGTTACATGTACGATTAAATCGATAAGTTACCAGTAAGTTACCAGTAAGTTACCAGTAATTCTTTTAAATGCAAATAGTTCCAGTCCCGCCGTTTGTCAATGAATAAAAGCCATATTTCGGCGGAAAACGGCATTTGAAAACATAGAAAGATAGGCAGTTGATTCGGAGGTATGTGACCCTTATCCACACCAATGATTTGCAATCCGATTTAGCCCACAAGTTTAAGTTTTTTCTGAAGAAGCAGGAGAGTGTAACTGATGCATTTAATCTGCGCAATCTTACGAATAAGCAACGAAGAGGGACATATATTAAAATATTAGAAGTGGGCTCGGTGAAGCAGAAATCTGTGTACATCTGTATCTACCACACAAGCCGCAAACAAGAAATTAGGAGTATATTCGTAATACACTACTCTTAAGGTTGCTGAAAATTCATCGACAGCCCACGACCGGTTTCACCCTTCTTAGGGCTCCTCAGGTAGGTCCCCGAGTTTCCGTCAACCTTACGTTCTACTTAAAACCGAATTGCACGAAATTAGCGAAATACGCTCATTTGCAAACTAATTTGGTTCTTTAAGAGGCTCACCTGGATCTAATCTGAATATATCGTTTGTGATGCTTCCAGGTAACCTTATAAGTAGTACATTACGAATATACATTTATCGCGATATCTCAAATACCGTACCAGCTGAAACATGAAGAGGCCTGGTGCAGCACGTTCACTTGTCTGGAAACATCACAAATTAGAGGTCCAGCTGGGTTCCAGGTGAGTCTCTCGCAAAACCAAATTAGTTTGCAAATGAGTGTATTTCGCTAAAAAAAATTAGGAGTTTTCGGAAAAGTTTGGTAACAAGCGGTCGACTTATTGCTAGGCGAAGTTCCACTTTTGACGTAAAGGCTTCGTCAGGTCAAGTGGCCAGGTTACGAGGTTGATCAAGATTTAAGACGGAAGGAGAACCAGTCAGCTAAGTCAGACTAAATCCTTTTTTTGCCGGACAAGGGGTTTTGCATGTTAGGGCGGATCACCAAGTGTTAGGCTGATGGAAAAACCTACATGGATTTGGGTACAGCCTAGGGTCTAGTTCTTCCAGTTCAGTTCACGTGACGATCCTTCTCGAACGTCGTTTGCACTTATCATCTGTTGTTGTTGATACTTGCGTAAGGAAGATGGATACTGTGAACTTGGGATTTCCAACTCCCATTATTTTTTGTCAATGATTCTACGCGCATTGACAACCACACAAATGATGTGTCGACTCGGCTTATCTAAGACGACTTTCCATACGCTCGCCAGTTCCACACCCTCGATTCTGTTCACACTGTGACGCTTGGTGATTTCCACCGCCTCGGCTATCAACCACTGCTTCCCCATCTCAAAACTTCCACATTCTCCACATTCTCCATGTCTTTTCTAAGGCATGTACCGCCATCGCTGAGTTTTTGACCAGAGTTCGGTATTCTTCTGCATGCCTTGGTGGTTTGTTAATTTTTCTTTTATGCTCACCAATTCTGTTGTGCAATCCCCTGGCAGTTTGTCTTGTATAGACCTTAGTGCAATCGTTGCAGTTAGTTTTATAGGCACAGTCCCTAGTCTTTTCAACCACGAAGGGATCTTCCTATTACGCCAAAAGTGAACGTAGCATTTTTCCCTTCTGGAAAGTTAGTCAAATGTTGGCTAAGTTCAGCAGTCTTCGACTAATCTCCGATGTTCCTACTTCATAAGGAATGACTGCTGTGCCAATCCATCCCTTACTGTATCTACCAGAGCCAATATCCTTCCTAACTGCCGCCTAATCAAACTCACTGGGTATCCTATTTGTTGAAATTTGTTGGCAATCTCGATTTGAGCTGCCGTTCGGTCGATCTATTCTGTGCACAATGCTCTGACTCGATGAAACATCGATGAGACAATACTGGCGTACACGGACTTTGGGTGTACTGATGAGTAGATTAAGACGGTTTCTGGTAGATCGTAGTTTATAATTTCCCACCACTCTTATGTGTTATACAGTCCAGGAAGGGTAGCTTGCCCGAGTTGGACTCTATCTCTATGCTGGATTTGGTGAAGGAATTTAAACTATTGAGATAGTCGTAGAAGCTCTGCAAGTTATCACTTTTGATTACACCAAAGGTGTCATCAAAATAACACGAAAGACTTTCGGTGGACGATGACATCCCGCCAAGACCATTTGTTCGAAGTCCTGCATACAATTACTGGCTAACGCTGGGAATATTGGAGATCCCATTGCAAGACCCTGTTGTGTCGAAAACGAACTGATCGAGATCCACACACACACACACACACACACACACACACATACACACTCTTATGCTCTCAACTATTTCGTCCACCAAGAGCTGTGTCCGTTCCTTAGGTGTCGTGTCTGTCAGTAACAACCTCCAAAGCATCCACTCTATGGACTTTTGTGAACATTGATAAGAACACCATTAACTGGCCTCAAAATCAGTCTGGTTCTTTGTAAGTTCACATGGTACACCCTACAAACTCTCTTGTGATTGCATGATTTGAGTAGCATCTAACTACCGACAAATAGTTAGGTCACCCTGATAAGGCTGCAACTGTTAGTGGCGTGCATCACACCTTGGATAATAGATGACAACCTGGGATGCGCGCGCCCCTTGAGTCACGTGAGAGGTCAACTGAGAGTGCGCCCAAAGCAACAAAGACAGCATATTCCAGACATCACTTGGGTTTAATTTGATCCTTTTAAGATGATCAATATAGCAGAACCGAAGAACAAGCCTTCAAACTACTAAGTCAACTGCGAAGACTTCTTAGTCCATCGATTTACACCCCCAGGTATACCTAACAGGTCCAAAGTGTCTGGATACTGCTATGTATCCACAAACAAAAGCGGTTTCCATTTCACACACCACTGTTAAAAGATTTGAAAATTCCCGAATCCCCTCACTTTCCTTACACGCACGACTATCACTGATCTAATTTCAGAAGCTTATCCAGCTACAGAGGGTCAACTTTTCGGGGGACATTGTATTTTGTAAACAGTTCAATCCCAGAGTTCAGTGATGACTTGTCAGCTGAAGTAGTTTAAAACACCATGAATTCACCGAAACTTACGCCGCGTTAAATATATAAACAGAATTTCCGCAGGCACACCAGAGCTGGTTGTCCACGAGTAGCAACGAGGCGATGCGCGTGAAGCCGATGCAAAGAACGAACGTCGAGTCCTTCGGTTCAGTTGCGCCAGCATTCTAGATGTAAACAGGCAAACAAACGAAAGACATAAGACAAAGGTTTGGATGGAATTTGGTGATTATACTTGTCTGACAAATCAGCTTACACTGGTTAGCATTTTATCCGTTATCTGCACTACCAGAGTTTCATAGGCGATTGATTGGCTTGCCGGAGTGAATATCAGTAGTATATCACAAACAATGAACTGTATATATGGAGACAGGAAATCCTACCTTCTATCAAACATCTAAACCCCGGTAAACTTATGTCGTATGTCAACAAGGAATGAATAACGTCGCTCATACTACCCTCCAAAGAATTATTTAGCATGAACAGTCGTTTGTGGGTTCTTAGGGGGCCTAAGATCGATTCGCTGAAAGAATACCCATATGGTAGATGTGAGCCAAAAGTGTATTTCAGTGAGACTTAATTCTCTAATAACTAATTAGGAGTTCCGCACCAAATTCAGCTCGGATAGTACTAAAAAGATTGAGCGTCACGTCAAAACAGCATAATGTGGTAATCTGACGTTTCGGTCGCAGTGACCAATTTTTTTTTGGATTTCTACCATTAATTGAATACGTGTCATGTGTAGAGTTATTTAGGTCCAATATCCCATTTTCTGATTGGTGTGATGCTGTGATCAGTTGGCATTCGGATACGACCAGTCTGTATGGGTGCGTGTTAGAATGTGCCTCCGTTTGTTGTTGTGCTGGCCGTGACGTCTTATTTTTGACATAACCCCAATCAGCTGTAACACCCTTCCGGTGCCTAGCTGCCATGCCACGCGAAGGAAGCACGAGGGCTAGGATACTGCCAGGTTGCCCAAGCCTAGACAGGGGAAGTCGAGAGGCAGAGGTCGGGCTCGAACCACAGATCTTCCGGTCAGCAAATTCGCGCTCTAACCACTTGAGCCACTTGAGATACTCGCTTGAAATCTGGTTACAATAACTGCTAAGGTGTGTGTTAAGTGCAATCCAGATAGACGGAATGCTTGTGCCATCACAGCGGTTGATGCACTTCGGCCGTGTGATGACACCTAGTGTTCCAGCGCACATCCGTTCCACGTGCGGCTTGAATCCTGACTGACGTGTACGAACGAAGTTGATTTGATGGCTTGACTCAAGTGAGTAGAGTGCAATGGATGAGTCGCGTTTAGTTTCTCGGAGTAAAACGCACGTGTTCTTTCTGCTCCGCGGTTCGTACATGGAGTTGCCTGGCTGTCTGGTCTATGTATTTGGCCGGACATTCTGAACAGAGAATTTGGTAGATGCAGTTTTTGCGGTGTTCGATAAGGTCATTATCCCCTACAAGGTGCCGCTATAAGGTACCATTAGTTCCGAAAATTATTTTTATATCATAATCCCGAAGTATCTGTCGAACGGCGTCTGAGTACCATCTCTGTGTGTTATTCCCACGGCGACTGTCGGGTTTTTGTTTTCCTGTCACACGGTTCCGGGTAGCGCTCTTCCCATGTGTTAGGCAATGATCCTCATGGGATATTTATTTATCCTGTAATACCCTACTGAATCACTTCAGTTAGCACTACTCGTATTAACCCATCCGGGCATAGTTTTTTGACGTGATTCACCAGCGATCCGACAGCTGCACATTTGACGTTATGTGGATGCGAAAACCCTTAATGCAAACACCTTCTGAATGTGTAGGTTTCCTGTGGGTTCCCACTATGAATCCAGGGATAATGTTGACAGAGAGTTTGCGGTCCAGAAAACCAATAGTCCTCGGCTCGTTCACATTTTATATCGTGAATTTCGTACTACTCCATCGTTCGCTCAAGTAGTTTAAGAAAGCCTGTCGTCTCGTGGCTGATGGCAAATAAGTCGTCAACCTGGTGAATGAGCTAAGTCACGTAAAGCCGTAGTTTCAGTATTGTGCAAGAAAAGATTAGCAAAGCTGACTGCAACTCCATCATCATTGATATGAGTAGAGTGGAGAATAGTAATCAGATCAAAGGAGTCGTTCATGTGACGTACCACCAGCTGGCAATAGGGCTTCCAAAAACTGCCAAAGTGTTTGGATAAGTTATACGTTGGACAACAAGTATAATCCACGACGGAACGTGTGGGGGTACCTGTTTTGTGTATTTTTGGTTAACCATAGAATCTTCTGGGTCCATTGGATTTTGCCGCAACTGAATCCCACCGTGCTTGACTGAGCTTAGGTTTCATCTGTTATGGGTACTGATTAACCCGACATATGTTCCTGTTGATTGTTGGGCTCTCGTTCTGCGGTTCGATCTTCTTGCAGTAACCCAGTGTTTCACGTTCGTGCATAGTCTTTTCGACTCATAGCAACCGTTGCGTGCCCTTGTCCGCTTTGGTGATGTGGATAGATTCATCTTTCTTCAGTGACTTCAGTAAAACTATCTCCTACGACAGGTTGCTTCGGATCTGTCGCTGATTTTTGAACATATTGCGGACAAGTAATTTAATTCTTTTAGAATCAGTGCAAACATCTGCCTGAAAGTGTAGGTTTTCTGTTGATTCTCACTGAGATTCCGTGGCTAGTGTTGAAGGAGAGCTTGCAGTCCAGGAAACTAATGGTCCTCCTCACCGAGGCCCTAGAGATCAACGGGCGGCCGACTGAGATTCGTGGCTAGTGTTGAAGGAGAGCTTGCAGTCCAGGAAACTAATGGTCCTCCTCACCGAGGCCCTAGAGATCAACGCGCGGCCGAAATACGTCAACCGTGGTAATGGCGCCAGCATGTCGTCTATCTTCTCTGGAATTACTGCACACATTAGTAGGTATACTTGTCAGATGTCAAAGGGGGATCTCAACAGTGACATATCACAACCAGCACAATAGCAAACAGAGGTACATTCTAACTCGCACCCATACAGACTGGCCGTATCTGACTGCCAACTGATCGCAGCAACACACCAATCAGAAGACGCGATATTGGGCCGAAATGATGTTACACTTGACAAGTATTCAACTGATTGTAGAAATTCTTGAAAAATATTGCCCACGGCAACCAAAACATCGGATAACAATATCTTCTTCCAGTAGGCTGTTTCGCCTTGAAAAAAAAACTCCATTCTCTATTAACTACGTTCAAGAGTGCGGTTAACGCTGAACATTTTCTTTGCTGCTGAATATTTGTAAAGATCCACAGTCTTCTGACTGTCGGTGCTACCACAAGAGAAAACTCCTATTTGGATTTACTCGGCGGATGACTCAAAACGGATTATTACTGCTGCGACTGACTTTCGCCTTCGTGCGTTTTGCAAAACTGGATAAAAAGACCCCACCTGATATTCAAATACGTTATGTTCGACAATCGGATTTCATGGTACTTAGCCAGTTCTGGTTACAGACCCGAATACTGGATGACACATGCTAACGAGAAAATTGTCCGTCCAAGACTGAAACCTGAAAATATGTTCGTTTAAGAACTCACTTCGCACAGAAAATGCTGTCACACCAAGAGATTCCTAGTAGTTCACAATTAGGAATTTCTTGGTACTTTGTTATTTCTAATTGTTGGCCTATTCATCGGACAATTCCTGGTAACTTTCACGACCGCGGGCTGGCAGCTGATCGCACTATAAGTATTTTTCTTTTTTGACCACACAGATCAATCGCCCTGCCAAACCACCACGAACTGGAGTAGTTTGTGTAAATAACCATATATTGAGCACTAGAAATGTACCGTATAGTATATAACCAACAGGTAATTTATTTTAGATGAATTATGTCAGTCTCCTATCAATTTGTTCTTTGAACTTTGTTTGGCTTGAGCAGGAATTCGAAAAGTATTTGTTACTCAATCTTTTTGAATCCACCTTGCTATCGGAAAGTAGATTACTCAAGCATGCTCCTTTTTAAGATGTACTCATATATATATATATATATGTATATTAACAGTGCACTTGTAACAATATTAGGGTGCCCTCGCCACCGGCCAGATGGCAGCAGTCCTCTAACTAACGTGATCATATACGCTGTTGTATAGCTCTAATGATATCAAAAACACGAGTGTGACAAGGCTATCTCTGATGCAAAAGAATTATGCTGGGAGAAGAAGACTGGTGTTCAAGAGGGTGTGAAGAATAGAGCAATTTTATTACATTGGGGGATGTGCAGACGGCCAATTTAGAAGTTTATAAGTGAGATGAGATCAATCCTAAAGGATATCATCAACTGTATGTGGTTCACTCAGATTAAAGTTCAACTGGTGGATGTTCACTTTCTCCAGTGGTGACAGCAGCATTATGACTACTGCTCATTCCCTCGCAAATGACAAAGGCGGATTGAATCATTGTCTGGGTTCTGTATAATTATGACCCTTTGCATCAACCAGTTGAACATGTAGTAGATCAGAGTCCGTGTTGTGATCGATTTATTGATCTGCTCCGGTCTCACTCTGAAATCACACTACAGTGTTCGTCCGCCGGCCCGCGAGTCAACGGTTCTTGTGTGACGCTATTGGTCTTGAAAATAGATAGATTTCGGGCAAAATTTACACCAGATTATATTGCTATCGGACAGCTAAGACGTGAAGGACTCAAACACACCATTGTCTTAGCCTCTGCGTTTTTGAGACTGCTCACCTACATGCACTGTTTACAGCTCCCTACATCCAATCAACATGCTCTGAAAAGGACTCACCTCAATGACAACGAGTTCTCCGTTGCTGAGACCGGCAAACGTTTTGTTCATATTCTCGTAGGGCCAGGCTGCCACAACGATGTCAGTGATGCTGTCATGTACCGGGAGTTGCCACAACAGTTCCCTGCGTTTCGAAAAAAATTGAAGCAAAAACTCAAGAAAGAGGGACATGGAGAGAGTAATTACCAACGAAGCGGAAAAATTGCCGCATCAGTGGTAGCGTCAGTTTACACGATGATTGAGTAGTGGCGCTTGAGTAGCACATCATTTGATGCATCAACAACGTTTAACGGATATTCTGGATCTCAGTGAATTTCATTGGAATGACTAGCTAGCTCGGAAAACGGGGTGCGTCAACTGGTACAGACATATTTCCAGCCATGGAGAAGTCGGATTAGGGTGGGAAATTAGCAACTGCCTTGTGTCTATGCTCAAATCTGTTAAAGTCGGTAACACTGATGTGCTACGCAGTTCGTTTGATGGTTAGAAGCACTCGAGTGGAAGAAATTGAGCTATTTGAGCCTGTCGGAAGATTGCTTCACTTAAGGTCCTTTTCCGAAGAGACAGTACGGGTTTACTCGTAAATCAAGTAGGGTAGCCTTGCTTTCCCTCAGAATTTTGATTACTACTCTTTTGAGACCAAACTGAAGGGTTTTTTGGAGTACAAGAAGTGGGAACTATTGCGCTTCATGACACCGCCGGAACTTACAAAGTGAACACAGGGGAATACTTTGGAAACATTTCGCCCCCTCCAATTATAAAGGTCGATTCGGTGAATTCTATTAGCCCAGTATTGTTCAACATAGACAACATTAGTTGGTAGATCACGGTTCTACCAACTGTTGTCCATCACCACGCACAGCAACCATGTGGTCGTTGTCCGTAATGTGCTCCAACAAGTAGTAAGGACAATAAAATAGATTACCAAGAGGAGCTGATTTTGCACCTTTTCAATATGATTGTAGAAGTCCAGTGGAATTTAAATGTCTTGATATACACATGAAAATAGAGGGGCATGCGAAGTGTCTGATTGCTTTTAAAACAGCACAGGAGAACAGCTCACTGATTTTGTCGTCGAGGGGTAGGTGAACATGGCTCAAAGGTGGTTTGATTTTTAGGTAAGAACCCTATGTCTGTGTCAGCAGCTTGTCGCAGCACTGAAAGTTTAGAAACCAGTGAAAACTCGATCAGGAGAACCTCACAATCCGTAAGGTTATCTCCACATACCTCCAGCTGCACAGGACCTTCGCAACATACCAGGTGATTTGATCGCGGAAAAGATGTAGACTTCATAGAGTCAACTTCTACAAATAGGCGCTCACCAGACAGGTTCACAGTCAAGTCTATAGAAACTTTGAATGATATCATATATGCATAACACGCTACCCATAAGGTTACTGATGACTCTTCGACAACCCACGACCGATTCCACCCTTCTCAAGTTTCATCGGGTAGGCGCAATCACCGAGTTTCCTCAACCTTATTTTATCCTTGAACCCGCATCGCACGAAACTAGTGAAACGCATGCACTAACTAACGAAGTTTTGATTTAACTGAAAGTGCTTTATAGGGGACACTTCACGCTTCATTTGATACGATATTGCTACCAAAAGAAACCTCAAGAAGTAATGATCTGTCAGACTTTTCAGCAGCCTTGTGAGTAGTGTCTAAAGTCTATACAGTGAATTGCTACACTGCCTGATGCAGTACATTTAGCTGAATGAGAATATCACAAAGCAGAGATTTGGTTAGATTGGCCATGAAAACCAAATTGGTATTCAAATGAGGGTAGTTTCCATGACAGTGTTATATATGCAGCCTGAATACCAGTTCTCTCGTTTTCCTGTCTGTGACGTCCCATTTTAGGCGACCGGTAACTTTGTACTGTTCAAGTTTGTTCCAGACAGAAAGCTTTGGTTGATTTTTGGTGATTTATCCACGTTTGCTGCCAAACAGTTGTTATGCAACCTGGTAACCGACCCCTCCATTTGGAAATGGACACCAGTTCGACCGGAGCGGCGTTTGCATACCGGCTCAAGCAAGAACAAAACGAGAACGCGAATTTATGAATGCGTTGTGGTCCACCGAAGAAGCCATCAAAAGCATATCAAAATTATCAGCCACTAGAGTGAGAGAACCTCAAAACCACAGAGCTCAGGGATGCAAAAGTAACCAGACGAAGAACTTATAGGAGAATGAGGAAAGCATCATTCAAACGGACACATCAATTTGATTGGAGGAGGCGTGCAACCAAAGCACCAAATCAACCGGCGGACACAAGGACACTAATCGCCATGGTGGAAAAAATAGGGCGGTACAAGCAACCAATGAAACTCGAGAACGTCATGCCACGACGCACTGCGAATCAAGGCCTTAGAGAACTAATCAACACAGAGGAACGCAGACCACAACGCATCAACGATCACAAACGGACCAATAGATTCACAAGATTCGTTACACATCAAGTAGCCAATCACGTCGGAAGATAACGGATAGCCTTCGAATGATATTTAAATGCACGCAAGCAAGGAATAATTAACCACCCAACTGCACACAGATGATGTCTTCTCGTATGGTGACGAAACGTTTGCAGGCCAATTGCCAAGCTCGGCGAACAGATCAAAAGCCACCTGATCAACAACCAAACGACCCCTCCGCTGTAGCGACCTGAGAATCATCGACCTCCATAAATACATGCTAATACAATATTAGATAATTCTTTCTGTCACTTTCTGTGTTGAAATCCTGATACAGAAAAATCAATAGTATTTAGTAGAATCGAGGGCATTCAAGTTTTTTGATGAAGTATTCGATTGTAGTTGGGGGTAAATTCGTAATGAAAATGTTGCTTCGAGCAAACGCACGTACTTTGTTTTGATTGAGTAGGCACACAGCTTGCCAGACATCAGTCCGATCAGCATGATATCGTCGTTTAAGCAGCAGAGGCTACTCACATGCGCGTCCATCTGATAAGAGAGAGAGAGAAAAATCTGCCCGATATATCGTAGCCAATAACTTGATTCAGAGTACCATTTGACTTGAGTAGAGCTGTGTAATCACTGAAGAGATGAATAGCACCGATTTTAAGGTTTACCTGACCGTATTTTTCACCTCAAAGTTCGGATGAAAATTCACGCCTTTCAACGAGCACGGCGCTAAAAGTTCTACCGGCATCGAAGTTGTTTCAAATCAGTAAACCGACAAATATCACATATATGTGGCATCAAACTTGCCTCCATATCTAACTGCATCATTTTGCTCTCTTCGACATCGACTGCTGAGATGCGTGTGTCAAAAGTTCCTCCGTGACAGATCCAGATTTGATCTACACCAAGAACAAAGTTTAAAAGAGATGTGAATCTTTACGGTTTGAAAGGGACTGGAAAGTAAGTTGGCCAAATAGTGAATAGTTGAATAGATGGACTGTGGATCAAATGACAGGTGATCTGCTTTCTGAGCTTGGAAAGTGGCTTGTCCCCACTCGAGAAGACATCGTCAGTGGGCAACTAGGTGGGGGGTTCGTCAACTTCAGCTTGGTTGTACATATTTTATAAAGAATAATTAATATCCGCAAAGCAGGCGCGTGTCTAATATTTTTTGACATTTAAGTAGATTATTCGGACGATCATCAAACAACCAGTAGCAATTCGGGATATATTTGTCAAGAATATCCCAGTAGATTCTAGAGATAAAAAAACAGAAAAATCTTTGCTTTTTGATAAACCAAGATTGTAGTTTTCTCCAATATCACGGTGGAACTCTCTGTGTCATGAATAGCTATATAATATTTTCCGAAAATATTACCTAGAATAAATGAGAATAAGGCGTTGCTTGCAAATTCTCCCTAAAATCATCGCCGGTTGAAGAAACAAGATAGTGAATCGATAGAATTTTATAGAAAATAAATCTCAGGGGCACCGTGTCTTACGCGTACAAACTAACATAAAAAAAGAAAATAAATAAAAGTTTTCTAATGAACCAATCACAATTCAATCAAATGTCATGTTATCAGTGGAGGAAGGGGGTTAGTGGTAACGGAATATTGCAGTTATAATGGTGATGGTGGTGGGTCTCAGTTAGCGTTCTATTAGTGTATTGATTTTCAATTGGTTATTTTCGTTTCGCCAAGCAAATTCACCTAGTTTCAAAGGAGTTCATCCACTAATGTGTAACACGCTTTCAATCAGAAGCATTTGCATCGGTAAAATTCAACAAAATATTTGTTTTTATGCAAATTTTCGTTGTCATGGATGTTACTGCAAACTTAGTCACACTCACTTAGGTCTTCTATAAGGGAAAGTGAAACCGAGCAACTTGATCAGTACTACAACGGTGACGCTCCCTTTTAGGGGACAAAGTATATCAATACAGTTTGAGGATGTCAGATTCCAGGATACCTCGAGGGCCACTTTGGTCGTGCCCCAGAGACGAACTACTCATCGATTGTTCCAAATAAAATGTTGTGTTCTTCCTTAATAATCGTTTGACAGCTTGTGTAAAAACTGGCGTTTTGTTTGAAGAATATCTGACCCAATGTTGTGGAATGTAGGTAGCTCGGGTGCGCTGTTTGGTTGTTGGTGTGTTCGCCGAGCTTGGTAGTTGGATTGCAAACATTTCATCACCAGTCGAGGCGACATCATCAGTGCAGGGTTAAATCAACTGACGATGTCACCTCGATTGGTGATGAAACGTTTGCAATCCAACTGCCAAGCTCGGCGAACAGACCAACAACCCAACATCTGACCCAGTGAAGTAAGCCTTTTGTCCTAAGGAAATCACTCAATCTAAATAGACTGGCTAGGGAACACGGGTATGATACCTGGTTAGCGGAACATTTAAATCCGAAAGCCAATGTGATCTTTACTGCTTGCCTCCTTTCCAGTATGTTATACAAATCTGTTTTTCATCAATCGGGAGGTGGAAGATGCTCCTAAGGGTATTTTTCTTCGAATGCTTCCGATAAATCTCATCAAAGTGTACCTGCTAAAAACCGAAAAGCTACCGCGAGATAGATATTCAATTCATTTACTATCTGACACCGTTTTACTTATCCCTGAGATCGGCGTGTATGTTAGTTCTGATGAATTGTGACTAGAATACGATGGTGTATTTTTTATCGATGCGTGTCATTTGAGCTCCAAGTTGAGGTAAAATCTACTCTAAACAACTCTGTTGCCGACAAATATCGTGACCTAGTTTTCCTGAAGTCTGCACTACTTCCAGGGCTCTGTATCTACGGTCACCCACCTGTAGGTTTTGCTTCTGTGCATAGAGTTACATTCGGGGAGTGACTTTATACCCCACTAACAATCACAACTAACAAAATACTATCCCATCGCTTTTGGACCTTATTTTGGAAAGGATCGTGCAAACTTTCGTGCAACTTTCGGTTCCGTGAGGACTTGTACTAAAAACCAGATTCATGTTCCATTGGGGTATGGGTTGCAGTAACTCAGACAGGTGAAGGAAACGGGCCAACGGCACCCTCTCAATGTCTCTGAAAATAAGTTAATTGCAGCCCTCAAACACCAGACCTAATTGGCATTCAGTTGAACGATGTTTCAAGAAAACATCGACCCGTTTAATAGCTTTCATATCACCTCTGTGGCAAGCTAGTACAAGTGTAATTTCACTGATTAAGACAAGCAAGTTGAGAATCTTTCGCCTTAATGGCTTGTGCAATGTCGATAAAATAAATGCGGTTGAAAAATTATCGTCCCCAAAATTAGGAAGGAAAAAATACCCTACTTGATGTGCTGCCACTGGTCACTAGCTTTCAGTACGTTTGTGGGCGCCTGAACTCATCTTTAGGACAAATAACTAGGCTAGATAGCGGGTAGAACAATTATTAATTATGTGAATTTATGGGGAGAAATATTGACCCAAGTCTGGCAGAATGGGTAAATAAACTATCGCGGACACACACTGCGCAAACCAAGTTAGCAATACAGTCCTTGATGAAATCTTATATCTTACCAAATGAAAACGTATCATAAACAATGGTCGCTTTTTAGTAGTATCAGGAGATTCGGAGAGATGGTTCTTTTTGCGTTTCACTAGGGTGAAGTTTATGATCTGTTAAAAGTTCAACCTGTCTCACGCACCTAGAGTGGGACGCTGACGTATCTGAAAAAAAGAAACCTGTGCTCACCATTCAGTGTGGTAGCGTATTCTTTCTCCTGCTGTTGTTCAGCGGAGTATGTTGAGCGCACGGCACGGCAATTTTCTAAGAGAATACGCGAGCACCTCTCTTACCGGAATATCATTAACCTCAACAGTTCACCCAGAAGCTCAATTGTGTCCCACTTAATTGACACCGGGCACGTAGTCATGTCAATGAGTCATTTAAACTCATTTACCGTGTACCAAATAAACCGCCATTATCTATTCGACGGCATAGCTTGACTACAGCCGAGGCAGTTGCTATATGCCTGCGAAACCCGGTACTGTGCTGTCGAAAGCGTTTCGTACGAACGCTGCGTCTGCCTCGGTCGTGTGACACGAATCAACCGGCCAATTCACTGAACAGCCCTCAAGACTGTCTCACAGCATCCAACTAGATGCGACATGGGGGGGGCGCAGACAACCAATCGTTCGTGTCTCCACGTTCTGCATTTCACTAACCAATCTTCGCAGCGTATTTCATTTTCCGCTCCTATTTTAGCCGTTCGATATGTACTGACCTGATGACAAGATCCCGAAAACATTAATGTTCGTCACTGTGTTCTTTTTCAAACCATGGGGATATTTAAGCACTATTCTGTTGTTCAACGTGCCGGGGTCTTCAGTTGGTAATTTGTTAGACACAGGTCAAATGCGATTACTAGTGTGCTCTACGAGAGTACAGTACACTGGGTTAGTGTGTATCAACAAATAGCGCGGATCAATTCTCGCTGTGATAATCAAAGATGAAAGCTTGATCACGGAACCTGATACGGCGTATCGTTCTGAGAAACAAGATGCAAAGAGAGGTTATAGGTATTCGACTCTTCTGCCGGATAACATAGTAGCAAACCTTCGGTAACAAGTCTATTGGTTCGTGAATGCTCCTAGAAGGATATGTAATATGGTAAGGTGTCAAGTATCAATTAATACGACATATAACATCAAGATGCTGGAAAGGTGGAATGACTGGGGTCGGTGAGGAATCAGAAAGTGAGTGCTGAGTCTTCCGGCGTTGACTATGGATCTTATTCCCACATCAAGATGAGCCTTTTAGGTCTCGAAGACTACGAAGATCGTGACAGAGAGTTGCTTACCACAGCTGAAATGCTAGGTAATATCCTTCTGGTGATTAGCGAGTCGACGTCTGCTTTCAGAAGCACAGTGACAAACGGAAATAGGCTCATAAAGTACATCTATAATAGTATCTCTATAGCAACCGCACACTAGCATAAATGTAGCGTCAGCCTCATCGGTTGTGTAACGGGTTTTTCGATTGAAGAATGTGTCCAGCACCAGAAGCTGCGTTGGTTGGGACATGTGTTACGTATGCCGAACCATCGTTTGCCGAAGAGAGTGCTGTTTTCCATGCCCAATTTAGAGTGGCGTAAACA